TGGGGGACAAACGAACATGGAAGGGCATAAAACATGGTGTTGTGGCTGTGTGCAAGCAGCTGGACTGTCTGCAGGAGGCATAGGAGCGGATGTATCCGTTTGGGACAACAGAACCGCAACAACCCGTGGAGGAGGCACAGAGAGAATTGGGGTAGACAAAGAAGCAGGCCGCTGATCCCTGGCCAAGTGGCGATGTTGTGCATGTCGTCGGCGATGATACACAATAAGAGGAGTGGCGATGTTTCAAACAGAAGATGTCACTGGCAACGAAGGCGGAACAATGGGAAGAATAGAAACCGGAGAATCGGTTCTCAAACGAGACCGTGGAGGAGATGGGGGTGGCGAGGAGGAACGCAGCCGTCTGCGGCCAAGCACAGAAAAGGATGAAAGGGGGGTGGATTCGGCAAGATGTCGGAACATAGGACGCGAGTGTCGGGCTGGGGTAGAGGAAGCTATACCAGTAAAAACTATAGCATGAGAAATTTGAGGTACAGAAGCAGAGGAAGTGGTAAAAAGTGGAACCGCAGCAGAGACAACTGTTGTAGTAGGAACCGCAGCAGAGGCAACTTCCGTAGCAGGGACCGCAGCGGAGGCAACTTCCGTAGCAAAAACTGCTGGAGTGAAACCCGGAGTTGAAACAGCAGCAGTAGAAACTGCAGCAGTGGAGACCAGAGCGGCAGCAGCAGTAGAAACTGCAGCAGTGGAGACCACAACAATGGAAGCGGCGGCGGTGGGAACCGCAACAAAGGGAACTGCATTAGCAGCAGATGAACAAGCAGTGACAGGCCGAGCAGCGGAGGCAACTTCCGTAGCAGAAGCTGCTGAAGTGAAACCCGGAGTTGAAACAACAGCAGTAGAAACTACAGCAGTGGAGACCACAGCGGTGGAAGCGACGGCGGTGGGAACCGCAACAGTGGGAACTGCATTAGCAGCAGATGAACAAGCAGTGTCAGGACGAGCGCGATGTGGGGATAAAGAAGAAAGTGGGTAATGCAAGGACCATCGCAGCATGCGTCGGAACCACTGAGAGAAACGGGTGACGTGTGTAGGATAGCGACGTTGGCGAGAGCGTGTGTAGCAGGTCCATCCTTTAGCGAGGGTTGGTGGGGAATGGCCACGAGAAAGCATGCGACGAGTGAGTGTTGTCGCAGCAGTTCGGAAGTCCTGCAAATTATTGCAGATGCGTTCAAATCTGGTCAATTGCCCAGTGAACACACCTGCCGGTTGATGGGAAGGGATGTTGGAGGTAGCACTTGGATAGCGAATAACAGGGAAATCCCAAGCAGCCGCTTTATCAAACACGCTCATGCGAAGCGAACCATCAGAACGTACTCGTAGATGCATACCTAAAAAGGTACACGAGCCATCTGTAGCCGTAATTTCCTTCCACTCAAGATAGTGCTCTGAAGGAGGAGGTAATTGCGCCCATGAAAGAACATCATCAATGAGGCGGTAAGTGAAGGCGTATCGCTGAGCAGCTTGGGGATCATGTTGACGAATGTCATCAATAAAGCGTGCTTCATCCCAATAGATCGTTAGATTGGAGATTTCTGGGCCAGCATTTGTTCCCATTGGAATACCAATGATTTGCTTTCGAAGAGTGCCATCTCTAGTGTACAGAAAAGTGTTTTCTACAACAAAGCGAAGATGTTGGAGAATCTGAGAAACGGAAAGGTTGTCTGGTCCTGAATTAGTTGTCCATTGGCCAGAGCAAGGCCCGTGAATAAACATGTTCAAGGCTCTGCAGCGCGAATACATGCGGGTATGCTGAAGAGCATAAGCATGAGCTTCATCAACAGCCTTTGCCACATTATTCAAAATGCGGTCATGAGGAAGGTTGGTGTACATTGTGGTGAAATCAACCGTGCGAGGAGAGAGGCCACGTAGAGAGGACACATTGTTTTTCAGGTCAATCGCCACCTCATCGGCACTCTGGACGATCCAGCACCGTCGAACACCTTYCTGTTGATAGAGCTCGGTGTCTTTCTCACGAACAGTAGAGATCACGCCTTGCAAAGCAGTGCTGAGACAGGACGAAGTAGCCGTTGTGCTAGCCAAGGGTTTGTGAGGAGGTCATTCATGAATGGTGCGAATTGAAGGACGAGAGCGAGTGCGTGGGGGGACAGGACAAGTATTCTGTGTTGTGACTCCAAGAATGCTGCGAAGAGYTGGAGGAGACTTGTGGGCTTTCAACACATAGTATAGGTAAGGCAGGGTATCAGTGTGGGTATAACCCCAATGGTGATTCCATAGTGCATGGTGGTTGAGCACATCAGTGACGGATTCATGAGGACGAGTATAAGTGTGACTGTCCAAATGGGTAGAGAGGTGAAACAAATACCAATTYTTGCAACAAATTGCCAAATTGTGGGATGATTTGTCCACAGGAACAATGGCAAAGTGTTGTTGCAGATGGCGGGGAGGCATGTGCACAACGAAGTGAATGTTGTTGGCTCACATGATTGGAAGACGAAGTCGCATTGGATTGACAATGCCCAAGGATTGCAGAACGCCAGCTGTGCAATTTCTGAGAAAGGGACGAGAAAGAAGCAGATCGAGAGTGTCTAGCAAATGTATTCTTGTAACTGGCAATGTACTCATCGAGTCCGATCGCCAGTGCTTGGAGCACATCAGCAGTCTCCCCGTTCAAACGATATTTAGAACCTTCTTGAAAAAGCTTGCGAAGGTTATCGTCTGAGATGATATTGTAATCAACAGAGACAGCATGRCCGTCCACAAGATCTGAACAATGCGGAAAGGCCCTGCGGCATTCGCAGTTCACGGAGTCTGGTAAGGTCATGTCAGGAGCAACACTCAATGCCACATCAGTAAAGTTGCAAAATTGGACACGTGTGGGTGGCATCAACTTGTCACATACACGAACTGCGGCCGCTTGCGGGTCAGGGTGCAATGCAGCTACTTCTGGCAACTGCAACACATGGCGCAAGTTTGTGGCACGAACTACCTCATGCACATGTACGACCTTAATATGGTCAGTAAATGGGTCACGAGGTTGTGCTGTGTAACGTTGGCGGGTATGCTGGGATTTCCAGATAATGCATTCGAGTTGAAACCGACTGGGTGAAGCGTTCGAAGTTTTCGAACCCAAAAACCCTCGCGGGCCCATGATCAACAAGACCTCCAGACATATGACACAGGGTAGGATCAATGCATTCCAAGGGCCAAGCCGCGAAGTTGAATGCTGGTTGCCCACTCATTGTGCAGTAGAAATGGCGATGGTGAAAAGTAGCAGAAGAGTGTCGTGTATGCCAATGCTCTTGCAACCTTTGGTGTGCAGAATGCATCGTCTGTCCAACATAAAAACGACCAGAAGGTAAATGAACAATTGCATAAATCACTCCTCGAACAGTGAGGGGGTCATATA